TCCTGTTCGCTTCAAGCTGCCTGGCTGCCGGCCGCCATCTTGGTTGGCAGTTAATTTGCATATCGCCCTGATTAGCCAATGGGAAGGGTAGCGGAGGTACAGCTAATTACCACGTTTCTCTATTATTAGATAGGACTAATCGCTGACTGATACATACAGTGAGTCTCGGTATTATAAAAAAGGCTTGTTCTTTTCCATAAAGTTAGAAATAATTCCAAAAATAACTGACAGATAATTATTTTATATACATTTTTAAAAATATCAGTGACATTTGGGAATGGTAATTAACTTATGGAGCAAATTTGGGTTTATTGTGCCCTAAGTTGTGGTATAGGAAAGTACATACTATGTGCTCATTAAACTAGTTGGGTATGATTTTAATAATTGAAATAAAGTCAAAAAAATGGTGTAACTGGAAAATTCAACCAATACTTTTAATAAGTATAAACATACTTTTAGTAAGTATAAAGTATATTTCTGGATGGTATAATTTGTGAAAATTTCCTTAATGTCTTATTACACATGACTTAAACTACATTTTAACAATAACAGGAATATTATATCCAATTAACAGAATCAAAACTAACATTTTTTGAAAAAACAAACTGAACATTTAAGTCACTAATTAGTACTTTCAAAAGGATTTGACAGATCTGTTGATTATAGGAAATTAAAGGCAATTACGTTTACAAATGTTCAACTTCCCTCCTGCAGGAGTCCCTTCTAAGAGAGACAATGACATAAGTGAAACTGTGTAAGAAAAAAGTTTTAAAAACCTAATTTATAACCACTTATTTTAAATGGTGGGTTGATGAAGCAATAAAACTTTTAATATCTCTTCCATTGCCTTTTAGTATCTATTACATGGAAATATTTTAAAAGTAAATATCTTTTATGACATGCACAATTAATGACCCATTTTAGAGAATAAGAGGCCTATATTGAATAACATTATAAAATATAGTCACATGGGAATAGCTGATACTGAGGGATTATAGGAAAGAAATATGACTCATAATAATTTGTCACATGTTAAGACTCTTAAATTTAGTTAATCATTATATTTAGAGATCCATTTAAAATGCTCATTTAAAAATATTCTTGAAAATCTTTTAAGTACAAGATCTTCATATATTCAACTTTCGTATGTTTCGTATATTTGGTAAATTGCTAAGGAAGTGAGTTATTTTCAACAGTTTTTATTTCTATGGAGTTCAAGAGAATGCCCAGTCTCCATAAATAAAAAGTAAATAAAGGAAATGTATCAGAGAGTTGCAAAACAGCGTCATCATGCTTCTGAAGAAACTTCTTGATTTCTTGATCATCATGCCCCAAACTCAAAGTATTGCCTTCTTCGTTTTCCTTTTGAAGAAGCTGCTCCAGAACCCAAAAGAGGGAGAAAATATTTTCATAGCGTGAAGCATCATACCTGGCTTGCACCTACAAATAAACAACACACGCCTTTTAAAAAAATATTGGTTGTAGCTCAAATCAGAAAAAAGCCAAATAAGGTGATTACATTTTCAGATAAAAAATAAATACAGTTGACCCTTGAACAACACAGGAGTCAGAGGCACTGACCCACTCTCCCCCCATACAGTTGAAAATCCACGTGTAACTTGTGAAAACCCCCAAATTTAAGTTGTCCCTTGGGATCCAAGGGGATTGGTTCCAGGACCCTGAGTGGGTAGAAAATCTACATATGCTCAAGTCCTATATATAATAGGGTGTAGATTAATGCATAGAGTTGACTCTGCGCATAGGCGGACTCCCAACCATAGACAAAAAACAGTGCAGGTATTTAATGAAAAACAATCGGCATTTAAGTGAACCCACAGAGTTCACACCCATGTTGTTCAAGGGTCAACTGTATTTGATGTAATACCTCTGTCTTCTTGTTCCTTTTCGAGAACAAAGGAGAAAACTTGACAATCTTGTATTACTTTTTTCTCTTGCTGTTTTACAAAGCTCTAAATCCTTTCTCTGCATTATTGCTACAATTTATTACTCAGATGATTCGGAGAATACTTGGCAAAGAGGCTTACACATACCAAGTTCTGTGTGTTTATTTCAACATTTCATCAAAGACTTCACATCAATAATACTCTTTCCAAGGATAATATAAAGATTTTTAGGGGAAGGATTTTAGGAACATGTTTCACTGTACAACTCAGTCTTACAGCAGTTGGAGTTATGATCTGTAAGTGACCAGACGTGATTGCATCCTGAGTCTTCAGAAATCAGGGAGTAATAGGATTAGATTGTGTGGAATTGGATACATGGTCATGAGGGAAAATGTAGATGTGTCTCGTAGAAGTTATTATTTGGCTTAGGTGGCTGAAAATGAGATGGGCAATGGAAAGCCTATCACAAGGGAATACAGGAATCAGTGAAAAGATATAAAATGGCTTTATCATTTACTTATTAAGAAATATTCACCAAATCTATTTACTGTAATAATATGTAAATGAAGATACATTCTTTCAGAGCCCAAAGGAATGTATTCTTCTAATAAACAGAGTCAAATATATTTAGATAACTAATCAAATTTAAATTTAATAAAGGCAATTTAAAAACAACCAGGAAACTGTAGACCAGTCTCATTTATGACTATATACATTTCCAAGTTTTATGAATATAGACACATGATTCCAAACAATGACATTTAATCCAGTAATGTAATCAAGCAGGATTTCTTTTTAGGTGCTTCAATAATAGGAAGTCTTATCAATATAATCCATCATAACAAATTTAAGGGGAAAAACTATATGATTGTGTCAATAGGTACAGAAAAATTTTTTTGTTTTGTTTTCAGTTACAGTTTACATGAAATATTGTATTATATTCAGGTGTACAGCATAGTGGTTAGACAATCATATACTTTGTAAAGTGTTCCCCCTGATATTTCCAGTACCCACCTGGCACCATACATAGTTATTACAGTATTATTGACTGTATTTTATGCAGTACTTTATATCGCTATGACTATTTAGTAACTACCAATCTGTACTTCTCAACCCCTAATACAAAACAGTGTATTAGTTTCAGATATCTATCCTATATGATAAAAGGGTAATATGCAAATTGACCCTAACAGCAGAACGACTGGGAATGACTGGTCACTATGACACACATTGACCACCAGGGGGCAGATGCTCATGTAGGAGCGTGGTCAGTGCACTCCCACAGGGGGAGCTCTGCTCAGCCACAAGCCAGGCTGCCAGCTGCCAGCACAGCAGTGGTGGTGGGAGCCTCTCCGGCCTCCTCAGCAGCACTAAGGATGTCTGACTGCAGCTAAGGCCTGTTCCCGCTGGCAAGTGAACATCCTCCAAGGGCTCCCGGGCTGCCAGAGGAATGTCTGGCTGCCAGCTTAGGCCCGATCCCCCGGGGGGCGGGCCTAAGCTAGCAGGTGGACATCCCCCGAGGGGTCCCAGACTGTGAGAAGGCACAGGCCGGGCTGAGGGACCCTCCAAGTGCACAAATTTTTGTGCACCGGGCCTCTAGTATATATATAAAAGCCTAAGCAACCTTTATGACTGAACGACTGGAACGACCAGTTGCTATGATGTGCACTGACCACCAGGGGGCAGACGTTCAATGCAGGAGCTGCCCCCTGGTGGTCAGTGTGCTCCCACAGTGGGAGCGCTGCTCAGCCAGAAGGGGCTCATGGCTGGTGAGCGCAGCTGTGGCAGCGGGAGCCTCTTCTATTGCCATAGCAGCGCTACCAAGCAGCAGCAGTGGCAGGTGCAGCAGGGCAGGGATGAGCAGCAGCAGAACTGAGCCTGGCCCTGGCTGGGGCTCCTCCCTGGTCTCCTGCCGCTTTGGCACTGCTATACCCCCCTCCCCCGAGGGGTCCCAGGTTGTGAGAGGGTGCAGACCAGGCTGAGGGACCCCACCGGTGCACAAATCCATGCACCAGGCCTCTAGTACAATATAATGATTTGATATGTGTATATATTGCAAAATGATCTCATAAGATATCCAGTTGACATCCATCAACATATATAGTTGCAAAAATGTATTTTTCTTATAATGAGAACTTTTTTACTTATTCCCCCAAACCACTCCACTTCTGGCAACCATCAGTCTGTTCTCTGTACCTATGAGTCTGTTTCTGTTTTGTTTGTTCATTTATATTGTCCTTTAGATTCCACATATAAGTGAAACCATATGGTAATTGTCTTTCTCTGATTTATTTCACATAGTATTCTCTAGGTCCATCCATGTTGTTGCAGATGCTAAAATATCATTTTTTATGGCTGAGTAATATTCCATTTCATAGATATATCACCACATTTTTGTCCACTCATCCAGTTGATGGATACTGCAGTTGCTTCCATAGCTTGACTATTGTAAATATTGCTGGCAATGAACATAAGGGTACATATATTCTTTTGAATTAATGTTTTGGGTTTCTTTAGATATATTCCCAGGAGTATAATTGCTGGGTCATAAGACAGTTCCATTTTTAATTTCTTGAGACAACTGCTTTCTACAGTGGGTGCACCAATCTGCATTCCCACCAACAGTGCACAAGAGTTCCCTTTTCTCCACCTCCTAGCCAACACCTGTTGTATTTTGATTTATTGATGACAGCCATTCTGACAGGTATGAGGTGATATCTCATTGTGGTTTTAATTTGCATTTCTCTGACGATTAGTGAGTTTGAGCATCTTTTCATATGGCTATTTTCCATCTGTATGTCTCTAGAGAGGTGTCTATCAGGCTCTTTGCCCATTTTTTAATTGGGTTGTTTAATTTCTTGGTATTGAGTTGTATGCGTTTTTTATAAATTTTGGATATTAACCTCTTATTAGATGTATCACTGGTGAATATTTCTCACGGCACTCAAGGGTTCTGTTTTTTCCACATGCTTCCAATACTGGTTTGTTTTTTTGTTTTGTTTTATTTTGTTTTGTTTGTTTCTCTTTTTGAAAATAGCCATTCTGACAGATGTGAAGTGATATTTTATTGTGGGGTTGATTGGCACTTTTCTGATGATTAGTGATGTTGAGCATCTTTTCATGTACAGGTTGGCCATATGTATGTCTTCTAGGTAAAAATGTCTATTCAGATCTTCTTTCCATTTAAAAATCAATTATTTTCTTACTGTTGTTTTATACAAGTTCTTTATATATTTTGGATATTAACCCCTTAACAGGTCTATGATTTGCAAGTGATTTCTCCCACTCAGTAGGCTGCCTTTTCATTGTTGATGTTTTCCTTTGCTGGGCAGAAGCTTTTTAGTTTGATGTAGTCCTATTTGCTCATTTTTTATTTTGGTGCAAATCCAAAAGAGTAATTGTCAAGACAAATGTCAAGGAGCTTACGACCTATGTTTTTTTTTAGGAGTTTTATGGTTTTGGGTCTTACATTCAAGTTTTAATCCATTTTGAGTTGATTTTTGTGTATGGTGTAAGATAGTGGTCCAATTACATTCTTTTGCATGTTACTGTCCAGTTTTCCCAGCACCATTTATCGTCCTTTCCCCATCGCACATTCTTGGTTCCTTTGTCATCCTATATAATAAAACCCTAATATGCAAATCGACTGAATGGCAGAATGACCGGTCACAATGACGTGCATGGACCACCAGGGAGCAGACGCTCAATGCAGGAACTGTCCTCTGGTGGTCAGTGCACTCCCACAGGGGGAGCGCTGCTCAGCCAGAAGCTAGGCTCATGGCTGGCCAGCACAGCGGCGGTGGCGGAAGCCTCATCCGCCTCCAAGGCAGTGCTAAGGAGCGGGCCTAAGCCAGCAGGTGGACATCCCCCGAGGAGTCGCAGACTGTGAGAGGGTGCAGGGTGGGCTGAGGGACACCCCCCCACCCCCAGTGCATGAATGTCATGCACTGGGCCTCTAGTAAATATATATGAGTTTATGTCTGGACTCTCTGGTTGCATTGATCTATGAGTCTGTGTTTTGACAATACATTATTTTGATTACTATAGCTTTGCATATAGTTTGAAAAGAGGGAGCAGGGTACATCTAGCTTTGTTCCTTCTCAAGATTGCTTTGCTATTCAGGGTCTTTTATGGTTACACACAAATTTTAAGATTGTTCTATTTTATACTTTCTTTTAAAATGCTTATAATATTAATTACTTCTGCCCCCACATTCCCACAAATTGGACTATACATTATTAGATGAATACATCTAATGTCTATATGCTGATTCCCTTGATGTGGAATGGTCTCTATCATCAATAATTAACTACTAGGACTTTGGTCAGCATTTAGTGACCACTAAAGGTACCAGGGATCTGGATCCCACCATTTTTATAGATTTGAATTTTTTAGCTTATATTCTGGTTGTTTATATATTTGTTTTATCATCTGTTGAGATTCTACACATGTTGAGTAAAGCTAATGTGTTCCCGTTCCTACAGTTTCTATAATTCCTAGAACAATGTCTTTCTTGTCCATAGTAAATCTCAATAT